TGGTGATGAACTCCTTTAGCTTTTCCTTATCTGTGAAGCTCTTTATCTGACCTTCAATTCTGAATGATAGCTTTGCTGGATAAAGTATTCTTGGTTGTAGGTTCTTGGTATTCATCACTTTGAATATTTCTTGCCACTTCTTTCTGGCCTGCATAGTTTCTGTTGAGAAATCAGCTGACAGTCGTATGGGTACTCCCTTGTAGGTAACTGACTTTTTTTCTCTTGCTGCTTTTAAGATTCTCTCTTTGTCTTTTGCTCTTGGCATTTTAATTATGATGTGTCTTGGTGTGGTCCTCTTTGGATTCCTTTTGTTTGGGGTTCTCTACGCTTCCTGGACTTGTAAGTCTATTTCTTTCACCAGGTAGGGGAAGTTTTCTGTCATTATTTCTTCAAATAGGTTTTCAATATCTTGCTCTCTCTCTTGTTCTGGCACCCCCATAATTCAGATGTTGGTATGCTTGTAGTTGTCCCAGAGGCTTCTTACACTATCTTCATATTTTTGGATTATTTTTTCTTTTTGCTCTTCCAGTTGGGTGTTTTTGCTTCCTCGTATTTCAAATCTTTGATTTGATTCTTGGGATCCTCTAGTGTACTGTTGAATCTCTGTATATTATTCTTTATATCAGTCAGTGTATGCTTAATTTCTGACTGGTCCTTTTCTGTTTTTTTGGTATTCTCACTAAGATCCTTGAAGGGCTCACTAAGTTCCTCAAAGGTTTCTTGAAGATTCTTGAGTAACCTTATAACTGTGGTTTTGAACTCTATATCCAGTATTTTTCTTTCATCCATTTCTTTCATTTGTGACATGTTTCTTTATCTCCGCATTTTGGCTGCTTCCTTGTGTCTATAATAGAAGAGCTGCTGTGCAGGAGACACCCTTATTGGGCAGGACTCACTTCATTGGGGCTTTGGTGCTCACTGAGTCTGCTCCTTGAGTGTGTCACTTCTGCATGTGTAGAGTTGTAATATTGTATGTTCTCACACTGACCACTGGGTACACTGGCTCTTGGATTTCCAAGGAGATGCAAAGTCAGCCACTACCTGGGGCAGCCCAGCAGGAGCTACAGAGAGATCTGCAGATTCCTCTTCTTTGTATCTGGTTTGGAAGTGCCCAGACAAGGCCCAGCTGTGTAACAAGGTGGGCTGTTGCTGCCAGATTAATTGCTTTGGTGCTCCCTGACGCATCTACTTCCTGTTTGACAGGTTTTAAGCTGAGAAAGGACAGGCTATTCATATGCAAAAGTTGCTGTGCACAGCTTTGGTGGGGTTGTAACTTGGGTGGGGCGTGGTCTCAGGGCATCACCAGGGTGGAGCAAACAGCAATGGCTGCCAGTCAGCCCTTCACCGATGAGGTCCTGGCACAGGAGCAATGATGGCTGCACTGACCTCCATCTGAAAGAAAGCCACCCTCATGTTCCTGTCCCAATGCAGACAGTCCAGTTTCTCCCCATATGTGTCTGGGTCTCCCAGAGTCTCTCCCAGAACTGGAGTTCAGAGCAAGAGGGAGCTTGTTTCTCCCTTCCGATGAAAAAAGCAGTGTACCTGGGTGCCAGCCCGTTCCGCGCCTCCGCACCTCCTACCAGTCTCAATGTGCTTTCTTCTTTACCTCTTTAGTTGTAGAACTTCCACTCAGCCAGCTTTACCACGGTTCTGGAGGATAGTTGTTCTCTCTTTTAGTTGTAAATTGATGTGGTTGTGAGAGGCAGCAAGTACAGGTGTTTACCTATGCCGCCATCTTGGTTCCTCCAAGAATTCACCATTTTTGCCAGTCTCCTCCACAAGGGACATTGTGTGAAGGGTGGAAGGTTACTTTCCAGTTGTCAATATTTTATGTATATATGATTTATATATGTTTGCATACATATGCTGGGCTATAGAAGTCACATAACTCCTGCTAAATTTAACTTGGCCACTCACAAGTGCCCTGACATTTGCTCCTAAAACCAGGAACACAACCGTCTTTATCTTCTGCTCCCTGTATGTTCTGAGTTATCATGCAGCACACTTTTTGCATGAGTGTTAATAAGTGTTACAGGGCAGGATGTTTACCAATTAGAAAACACAGGTGCATAGCCTCTTGGTGCCTGAAATTCATATCAAGCTACTCAAACTCAAAAGAATGTCCTTGTTCTTAGTCCAAGCATTGGAGGTGTTGTTCATCTTTCTAAATGTACCTCCCTTTAAGACCTAACCATCTTTCCCCAAATTTAAACTTGTTGCTCCTTTAAATGCATCCCCTGCCTTTCCTCTCCTTTTTCTTTGGTTCTTAGGGATGATATTAACCAGTCTCGTGAATTTAAGTAATTCACTTGACCTTCTTAGGTCTGTTTTCCAGCTGAGTTGGATTGAATAATCTTGACCTGACCTTTCAGTTGAAAATATATTTCAAAGCTCTTTGTGAATTATTAGGTGCCCCAAAGATAAGACGTAGATATTATTTCTGTTATTATTATTTTTTAATTTCTGGATTCCCCCCCAACTTCCTCTAATACTCATCCAGGATAAGTTTTCCATTTCACTTTATGAAAAAGAAGACAGTGAGAGTATTACAAATATTTAACAGATTCTGGAAGAATGTCTCTGTTTTTATAGTAGTGGAGGGAGGAAGATTCATACTTCCCCCATTCTCTATTTATATAAAGGAAATGGTTTCTTCCAGCTATCTGAGATTTTAGAACATGCACAATGTGGATGCGAATGATCAATAGCAGTAATTCAAATTTCACTGGCCTCTGTGCCACTTACTCTGTCAGGACTCTAAACTCTTGCAACCCACCTCCTCACCAGCCTACTAAGCATTCCCAGAAGTCTCTGGACAGATAGCTCAATGCTGATATCTACCTTTTATTTCTCCTCTGTCCCACATCATCTAGTTATGATTCTGCTCCACAGACATCACTGCATCCACCAGGTTCCATCCCACCTTCTACTATAGTTGAACCACCGGAGCTTGGGAGATGCCAAGGCTGCATGGCGAGCTGCTGCAAAGTGGGAAAATAGGCTTTACTTCCTCTTTCTGTGCAATGGTAAAGATGCTGCTGAGATGTGCCAATTGGCACAGTGTCTTTGGTTAAAGTGGTCTTTCCGTTTGTACTTATATTTCACACCCTCAGTTTCAAGTATTAACTCAAGTGATGACTTGACTGGGAGACAAATCAGAGTGGTAGACCCAAGAGCAGATCAGAAATTTCCACTCCAGGGCCTATGCGTTCCTTTCATAGTCAAGCTTGAAATACCTGCAATCCTTTCCCCATACGATGGTTTTCTCTCCGGATGTGTTTCAGTCTTCTAATGGCAGATCCAGAAGTTCAGTTTACCAGATATGCCCAATACATATATGAAAGGAGAATAAAAATTATATTCTTAACTTCTGGCACCAGGAAGCCTTAAGAGATGAAGCTGTCTTAAGGAAAACACAGTAATAAGTGCCTGAGGGTGATGGAAGCTGAGGCCCAAAAGCCTGGCAGTTGGCTGTGACCAAGATTCTTTTTGCTAGTAGGTGAGGGTGAAGAGGACAGAAATGATGAGAGAGATGCCATGGGGAGATGGTGAGATGGAGTCCTACAAGAAACAGGGACTCTGAGCCTGAGCTAAGCAGCCAGTGGTCTGTGGTGAAGACCTGTGTCCACACTCTGAGCTGTTTGAGGCAACTGGTCCTTCTAGCCTTTGTAATCTCAGCAGAGGAAAATTGGGTTTGTAGTTGCCAAAACAACTACAATAGCACCTTCATGAAGCCTGGTGTTTTTCTATCTCAATTTTGGGACCACAGTCTTGAGTATCCAGTGTTGCTGGTGTGGAAGTGACACTTGTTGTGTGTGTGGTAGATTGTAACATAAGCTGAGACTTAATAGGCTCAGAGGCAAAAGGATCCCTATAAGGCGGGAACTTGGGAATCTGTAGACTTCAAGTGCTGTTTTGGACAATGGACAAATTACACATTACTTCTAGATATCTAGAAATTAATTCATAGCTATCTAGGTAGGCTAGAGAATAAATGCAGGAAATTAATTCAGGAAATCTATACCGGATAGACACCAAATATTGAATTAGTGACTTCAAAAATGAGAGGAGAATTCTAGTAATTGTTACTTGGTGAGAAAGACAAATTGAGTCATTGACTCTGTGTGTGATAAGCATCAGACTTGTGCTTATCACCCATGGACTTTGATTATTCAAGGAAGGGAAAACAGAAGTAATCTAGCATAAAGGTTAGAATTCTTTTTTTTAAATATATTTTTTATTAATTAAGATATTACAT